AATAATTTGCAGCAGGCTCACGTGTTGCACGTCGTTCACCGTCAGGGGCCCATCTGGAGCCCTTTTTGTCGTTACAACGTGCGAGGTATAGAATTACTGACGAATGCTTATTCAAATTTGTCTTGTTATTTAGTTCAAGTTAAATAGCACCACAGCCACGGATATGCGACAAATGCACTTGCCATTGCTGAGGGAAACATAGGCTACCTTTTGATGGCCACTTCATGCTTTTAAAACTGCGGTCTACTGCCGTCGTTTGTTCTTTATTCCATTCTAAGTGTTATCCTGCGACAAACGTGTCTAGCATTTCCAGACTGACCTAACATATGAAGCAAATTACATAACAAAGGCATTACATGCATGCAGGGTATTATTTACTACAAGATTAACGGTAGTGATGTGTCTAAGTGCCTAGTGTGCCAATGTTTAAGATCCTTTATTGTATTTCTCTGGCCTAGCATGCATCGCTTGCTCATATGCATTGAGAGGGTTCAGAGGAGCATTGGAAAGGGGGGAGGGGGGTCAGGCAGCGCTAGCGGGCTCAACCCCCCCCCCCCCCCCGCAGGAAGCACATAAAGTGACGCCCCGCTGGCATGTTGAACAGTTCGATGTGCAATCAAGTGGCGCTCGTCGTTTTAGAGCGTAAAGGTCAGCCTGAGAGGCCGGCGGTCGACGATAGTTGGCGCTGCGTACCAGCCGGCCGCCTCTGCGGGCGACCCACGGAGGGCCCCACGGAGGGCCCCACGGAGGGCCCCGTGGAGGGCCCCCACGGAGGACCTCCAGGGCCAGCTGGTGTATCCCCGCTGTCTGTGAGCGAATGCTTTTGTTTTTGGAGACATTCATCCCTGTGTTATGTGTTCTGACAAGCTGGGAGTACGATGCTGCTTACATCTCCTCCAAGACATAATCGCGAAACAGACCAGGCTAAGGCTGGCGTGGATTCCGACCTCAGTACAGACCGGACCAGGCCGCGGTCTGCCATCGGCCATTCATGGTCCCCGTGGCAGGCGACGTCACGACCAATGCACGGCGGTCCCGATCAGCTGCATGGACCACTTTCCACATCCACCACTATCCATTTTTATCCAGCTGTCGCCCAGTCGCGCCTGGACGGTGAGAGGCCGCACAGGCCCGAAATAATCATGGCAGATCAACGCCACCAGCGACAGGCGGTCGGAGTGCCCGTCGGCGTGGTTGATGATCATCGAAAGACACACGCCTCTGGTCAAGGTCACACCTACACATCCATCCTGCTCGAGGCTCACAGACGACGGTCAGTTGCGTAGTGCCATGCGTGGACGTGTGCGTTCCGTGTTACGTGTGCGCGGCCCTGCACCGGAGAACCGCGAACACTTCCTTTCGCGTCAGAACACAGTGAAGGGTGATCTCCGCCATGCTCGGTTATCGTTCTTTTTCCATATGCTATCACAACTCGCGTCGCACCGCATGGAAGGACCCACGCTTTCAGCAATCCGTTACGGGGCAACTTATGCACAACTTCCTTACAGCCCTTATTATGTTTGGCTTCATTTTCATTTCACTGTTTATTATGCTTTGGTGTCCTTGCGTCTCAACTGGGCTTCCAATGCATTGATCGCGCGTGTGTAATTGGCATACACCTTGCGATCAACCTTAAGTTGAGCGGAACTACACAAAACACCACTCATGCGTTCACATGCTTCGCAAATTGCAGAGCACGATCCCCGCTCCGAAGATGGATGAGCTTGGGTAAATGGGACAGGGGTGAATGGCGAAATGTTTCAGTGCCCCCAAGGGCCAAGGCAGATATAGGTAGGTGAAATCGGCAGCCACCATAAAGGCATCCCTACATCCAACAATTTTCCAGTCCTCTGAAAGGTATATAGCGATTCTATGTACAAAAAGAGCCATGGGGAGAGGTGATTGGGTTAACCATACCATTCTGAACACGCTATTCGATTCCTGTGCTAATTTTACATCTTGTATTTCGTTTCATCGTGTCGAATATGCCCTATTGCTAACGCCTGGAAGGGTGCCCAGGTTTCACTACTTCACAAGTCAGGTTCTAAATCCGACCAAAACAACTAGTCCCATATCTACTCTGACGGCGGTAGCCAAAGTGTCCGATCGCGTCGTTGGCAATCAGCTGATAGCGTATCCGCCGAGCCGTAACGTAATCAGTGAGCAACAGCATGGCTCTCAGCACGGGCACTCCACGGAGTCGGCACTATTGAACGCTGTCAGGCTCATTGTCAACAGTTCACACACGTGGCCAGTCACCCATCTGGAAACAGCTGGGCAGCTAAGCCTTTCACAGCGTCCTGCTTCGCCGACTCGTGCAGAAGTTCGGGCGGTATACCGCTGAAGCGCACTGGTTCCAGCACCAGCTAAGCGAGCGCTCCCATCATGTGCATAGGGGTGCCTGTGCTCCGGTGATGTATGGCGTGGCCCTGGGTTCACTCATCGGGTCCTCGCCCAATCGCTTAATTGCTCAACCGCAACAAACGACTTTTAATCTTGCATAGGTGACGCCAAAATGGCTACGTACACTGACAATGCCCACTTTATTTGTTGCAGCGATTCCGGAGATCGTACAGCTTAAAGGCTCGCGCAGAGAACACGCTGAAGGCGGCATACTCCTGACCCGCTGCCAAGAGCCCACTGAGTCGAGATGGTCCGACCCGACTGAACCTGGCTGAGCCGCCGTTATTTACATATACGACTAGTCATTAAGTGCCGAGAAAACCCAAAATCCAACTTGGAGGAGTAGCGCTTTTTAAATAGGTTTTGTATGTAATATTATCATCCTTTTTAAAATGTATCCATAGCTGGAGACATATGTTTGGTTTTGCTGCAGTCGGGACCGCTGCCTCTTCCTCCAATCCCTCCCCCCTCCCTCTCCCCTTCATCGCAGTTTATGGGACCATGTGTTTGATAGCGTTTTGGATGCTGACAGTCATGCTGCAAATAGTTCCTTACTAAGCGGGACTCCCCATACTCATCAATCCAATATTAGCTACAGCCGTGCGATGCGTGTAAAGAATTTATAGGGTTCAAAGTATGCGCTTCCTCCAAGGTTTCTTTTTAAAAAGCTGCGTGATATGCGGACGCAAGTCATGCGATATCAGCCACTGACCGCCGTTCAACCTGCGGTACGAGAACGACCCGTCGCGCTGGGACACAGCGGGGGTCCCAGGGAAGAGGGGACGCCGTTCCCCTCGTCACCGCACCGGAACAGAGCCACAGCCCTGGCGATACTGGCGGCAGCTGTCGGCAGTACTGGGGGCCGGGGCGGGCCGAGTGGGACGGAGTGGATCATCCCGCCGGCCCACTGTCGGGCTTGTGGTGACAGACCCGCGACATTCTAGCCCTCCACACAGCTGGTAAGGAAGAGATGTTCCCCAGCCTTGGATTACTGTGACAGGCGTCATCGCGTGCCATGTAGAGATAGTTATCAGAATTATCGTTGTGCTTAAAAGACCCTGCTTATTTTTGAGGAACTGAGAACACTAATGCGGAACGTTTCCTGGCGAAAGTGCACCCGAATACAGCGGTGTTTCTGGTCATTAAAACACGTCAGCGTCATAACCAGGCCACTCAACAATCACTTCGCAAAAACAACTAAATAGCAGCCAACAATAGTGAAAGATTTAGACCTGACAAAACGGGAATAGAAACGTTGGCAGGCACGGAATATCTGACGTGATTAATGAGTTGCATTTGTTTTGGACACTCTACTGACTCATGATTGGAAAGGACGTCGACTAAAGACGACACGCAATTAATGATGATGGCCGTGATGACGTTACCCGACCCATGTGAGCCCTGGAAATCGACTATGAGCAGAATGACGCTGGAAAACTCCGTCTGGTATGCGGTCTGCTCTGATCTCAGCCGAGTCAAACTGCGCGATGGAATGCAGGCTTACCATCAGCTCAAGAAAATTCTGCTCACCAAAACCAAAGACGCCCGTTTTGGGCTATCACGGCTAATGCAGATCGGTCGAAGGACTCAAAAGGGACAGAAGGTGACGGAGAACGGCAAAATGCGTTGTGAATATGTGAACGAATTGATGTTAGAATTAATAACTACGAACAGCACACAGTATGCATGTTAATATCATCTGCTTCTACCGTTTCGACAGATTAAGCTCCAATTTATGCTTCTGCACTTTCTTGCAAAGCAAACAGCACCTGAAGCACCTCATATATAACCGAAGCAGATGACACGAACTTCACATGAAGTAGTTCATGCATGACACGTCATGTGTGACTCTGAGTTTACACCTTCGAAACAATGAGCTTCAGTCGCCTATAAATGCTACCGTGAACCTGCTGTAGAGCACGATGACGAGCATACTTTTAAGGGATGGCAGCGACGGTAGTGGTCATAGAAGCACCCGGGGTCGCCAGACAAGAATCGAAGCACGGTTAGACGTTAGAACCTCTTGTTGTGCAGCATAAGGTGATGTACGGTCATCTTATCACCTTTGAAGTCCAATGACCTGGATCTTGAACGTGCCATGTTCACCAGCCGAGGGAGCCGAGCGTTGCCGCGATCTTGTACGATTGACTTCACTGGCGGTGCTTCGATTCACGGTGGTGCAGTCAACACCTTGGAGCACCTAGACCTCAAAGTTGTCGTGTGTTTTATTTGATATCCCTGGGTTCATGGCATTACCTAAGTTAACCGTCTGTGATGCATGTGCATTCAAACTCAGCCTGTTTGCAACTTCTGCCAATCCAGCGTTGGGCCCAGATAATCATTCTATTTTCAGCATTCATACCATGAAAGAATGCACCGAAATGGCATCAATGACGAACACTCATGAAAGCCATGCATTTCAAATTCACGTCCATCACTCCCAAAACCCAAGAATAGCAATGCTTGATAGTCGCACAGATCTGTGAGCGCGTAAAAGGTGCCAGTGTGTGCTTACTCCTAATGTCAAGCACACTGAACACGGACCTTGCGGCGTTTGGCTCGGAGCTCATGAGGTGCTCCTCCCCCCCCCCCCCCACTCCCGAACTCTCCCCGCACAGGCCAGCACCTGTAGCTCTCTGGCACCCGTACAGACGCAGTTGGTTTGGCTGCCGTCAGGGTAGGCGCACCAGCGGCGTCCGCCCACTGGCAACAGGCCCGTGGGAGGTGAGTGGGCAGCTACGCAACAGACAGTGAACAGAGGCACCGCGGCAGCGCCGTCACTGCAGCCGGCTCCGCACTTGACGGTGACACCTTTGGATGCCACCCGCAAAATCGTGCCACCTGCAGCTGCGGGCGGTCCCATCTGTGGTCGACCTTGGCGCCACCTGCTGGCAGCTGGTGTCTGCCAGCGTTGAGCGAGCGACAGTGCCGCCACCTGCGTCCAGCGGCGCTGAGCCCGCTGGCTGGCCACGAGGTCTGGCGCCGCGTTACCGCCGACGCCGGCGAGGCTAGGGCGGCCCTAGCGGCTGAGGTCGGCCCTAGCAGCTGCAGCTCCCGTTGGAGCTGGCGCCGTCCTGCACGGCCATCACGTCAGGGTCGTCCCCCTCCCCGCCCAGGTTGCCGCTCTTCTCGTGCGCCAGAATCTGGGGGCGCGTGCGCTGTCAGAGAACCGCGAGGCGTCGCGGAGGGAGCGGGTGCTGAGCGATGATGCTGATGAACGCTAGCAAATGGGATGGGAACGGAGGGTTAAAACGAGAAGATGATGGTTAAAACAAGAGGGTTAAAACAAGAAGCTCCTCAGCATATCACGAAACATCACCCGACACACTGGCCACATACGGATGATACTAACGCTCCGTACCCTGCTGATTTTGTCTCCAATAACTGCCATCGCTGGCAAGCTGGACTCACTTAACTATGCACACCTTCTCGTTTTGTGACTTCTGATGATTCCTGGGTGCAGTTTAAAGCATCAATAAAGTACGCTCGCTTATTCCAAGAGCGACCTCCGCACAGCACCACTTGGCAATGTTAGCTGTTTCGGCTGGTCGACTCCAGCCATTTTCTGTGCCGTGACCTCGTTTGGAAGCCCTGGGGCCGCCTCATCACGTCCACCCTGACCTGCAGCAGGGCGGTGGCCGTGTGTTACCTTGCTGACGAGAAAGCGGGCTGCCTCCTCGATGCCGTTGTTCTCCTTGGCTGAGGTCTGAAACCAGCCGGCGAAGCCGTGCTGCTGTGCCCACTCGGCGACCTTGTCAGGGCTGGCCGCCAGCCCCTCCTTCGGAAGGTCACACTGGCCGGAGGGCAGGTAGCCCAGGTCAGGCCAGGCGAGGTCAAGTTACACCGGCAGGCAGACTGCAGAGCTGAGAGGACGTGGCACCATGCTAGACAAGTTGTGAGGGTCTCATACAGCGATCGCAAACCAAACTTTTGTTTTTCATGTAACTATGCAAAATAAAGCAGATAATAATTAGACGCAACGCCCGTTAATGTAGCGACCTATTCATATTCGAATTTAGCGTGGAGTACGTGATTCCGTTTAAAATCAGCTTTAAGGTCGAGTACGACCCAATGATGACGAAAATGCAATCCGTTTTGCTCTAGCACAATAAGATTAACCTCCAGAGGTCAAATAACCGAGCCAAGCAGTGACGATGATACTTGGAAGCTTTCGGATAAAAAGGATGAAATGAATGCCACGTATATGTTTCATCTAAGGACGACAAAAAATGTCACGACCTATTTTCAGGGCTATATTGTATGTCCACGGACATAGCAGTGCCGCATCGCCGCCGTAGGGTTTTCGTGTTTTTAAATATGATGTCATGTGAAAGCCAATCATCAGTTCCAGCCTGGACTGTCAAGTACATCAGAGTCAAAGACAAAATCCAGGGTCAAAGTAAACATAAAAGGCCAAGGTAAGGCGCAAACCTTTGTATGGGACCCCCGCGTACAACTGAGGTGTCATTACAAAGCCCGTTGTCGATCCCAGCCTGGGCGCCTAAACACACCAGGGTCAAAGTCAAAATCTAAGGTCAAATTGAAGGTAAAAGAACGGAGCAGCGCCGCGCTGTCGCTGTATGGGACCAATCTGTGCTAATCAGACGTCACTGGAAAACCCATTGTCTTTTACAGTCTGGGATAAAAAATATCGAACTTCAAGGTCGATTGTGGAAGAAACAAGCCAGAACGCAAATTTTCAAGGCCTCCATTCCAGCTTGGAGTTCCCATTATCCATGCTGGTACCAACAACGGGCTTTGTAATGACGCCTGGTTGTTACAAATTGATCCCATTCAGCGGTAGTGTGGCGCTACCCCGTTATTTGACCTTGAGTTTTCACTTTCAATCTAGTGTTTTGGAAACCCGGGCTGGAATTGATAACGGAAATTCTAATGACGCCTCATTTGTGCAGATCGGTCACGTACAGCGCCCGTGCGGCGCTACCTCGTCATGTGACCTTTAAGTTGACCTCAGATTTGACTTTAACTCTGGTGCTTTTTGGAGCCCAGGCAGGATATGATGACTGAATTTTAACATTCAGATGATATCACATTTGAAGGCATGGAAACCACACAGCGGCGGCACGGCACTACCTCATTCTTGGACGTTAAACATGACCTCGAAATTTGACCTTGGAAGCTTTTCTGTTCTTCACTGGAATACATACGTGGCTCTCATCTGACGCCTTCCCAATACTGGAACGTTTCCAGTATCTTTGTTACTACTTGACTCGGTTATTTGACGCAACCGCAACGGCGTGTCACAACTGCAGCACACTGTTTCCGATTTCATGCGAGGACTGACCTTGTTTCCCAGCAGCACACAGGGCACAGGGTCACCGTTGGGCAGCTGTACCTTCGCGAGGACTGACCTTGTTTCCCAGCAGCACGCAGGGCACAGGGTCGCCGTTGGGCAGCTGTACCTTCGCGAGGACTGACCTTGTTTCCCAGCAGCACGTAGGGCACAGGGTCGCCGTTGGGCAGCTTAACCTGTGCGAGGACTGACCTTGTTTCCCAGCAGCACGCAGGGCACGGGGTCACCGTTGGGCAGCTGAACCTTCTCGTCGAGGTCGTTCTTCCACTTCATGACGGCGTCGAAGGTCACGGACCGCGTGACGTCAAACACGATGAAGGCCGCCACCGCTTCCTTGTAGTACACACGCGTCATTGAGCCAAACCTCTCCTGACCTGGAGCACAACACACCGAACCACTCCTGACCTGGAGCACAGTACGCCGAACCTCTTCTGACTTGGAGCACAACACACCGAAGCTTTCCTGGCCTGGAGCACGGCACACCAAACCTCCCTTGTCCTGAAGCACAACACATCGAAACACTCCCGATCTGGAGCACAACACATCGAACCTCTCCTGTCCTGGAGCACAGCACACCAAACCTTCCCTGCCCTGAAGCACAACAAATCGAACCGCTCCTGACCTGCGGCACAACAGAGAGGGAGCCAGGTTTACAACCAAACCACTGGGTGCCAGAGGTGAGCTTCATTTCAGATGCCGTGAAAATCGGCTTCGGTACTGATCAGCTTATGGCTGGATCGAAAAAACTTAAATGCATTAGAAGTATTCATAGGCAGTAGTGGAAGGAAGTGTGCACAGTAGCAGAGATCAACAGCAACGTGACTTGACTACCTCGACCAACATACACAAAATGGATATTTCAAAACTTGACCAGAGATGTGAAAGGCGGTCTTATCAGATGCGCTGTTCCACCCGTGTCGCGAGGTCTCCAGCGCCGGCCAGGGGCGGCTCCACCTACCGGCAATGTCCCACAGCTGCAGCCGCACGATGGTGTTGGAGTCCCAGTGGAGCACCTTGAGCGCGAAGTCGACCCCGATGGTGGCTCGGTAGTGAGCCGAGAAGAACTGGTGTACATAGCGCTTGATGATGGACGTCTTGCCGGTGCCCAGCTCGCCGATGATGAGGATCTTGTACAGATGCTCATACTTGTTTCCAACCTGTGAAGGGCAGACGACAAGGTTGGTTAGCCCAGCATCAGCTGCCTACGACAGATGACTGCCGTTCACGAAGGAAGAGCCAGCTGGCTGAAGTAAAACGCAGCGATGACTTAAAAAATCCATCAAACGAATTATGATAGATGCATGTGTGCTCAAACAGTCCAGGAGAGGCTTGACACAATTTAAACTGGTTTTTGGGAGACCGTCAGATCGTCAACGTCATAGTTTCTCGCCATCGGGCCATCAGGGAACATTGATAGTTTGGCGTATTTTTTTTGTCCCAAATGTGGATGTGGCAATATCGGTTGGTAAGCTTGCGTGCGCCGACAGAAAATGGAGCCAGGATCCAGCATTTACGTAAATGCATCTATGTGCTATGGTATGTCCGCTGTTTTCCCTTTCTCCTGTCCCCTCTAAATGTTTTGTTACTTACACCTCCACGCCTCAAGGCACCGTTGATGAAAGCATCTGTGAGCAGCGATTTTTTTTTTTGATTACATACAGGACAAGAGCAAAAATCCGGTATAGGCAGATGGGGCATAGCATTTAGATTTCAAGTAGCGCAGATACTCATCTTTAGTTCGCAGACAGGTGGTGTCAAGCAGCAATGCCAGTGGCACAGACACTAAACTGCTAAGGGTTTAACGGAAACTGGTTTTGCAATATGCACGGAGAGTGGCATTTAACCATGCTGTAGAAACTCCACGCTTTATTACTGAGCTTGTCAAAACGCGGCTTCGGAACAAGAGGCAGAGGCGAGTGTACCTAGCGGTACACAACTGCCCAGTGCGAGCCACGACCGAGAAGCGAAAACCGACCACTGCAGCTCGTGGCGGACGATTACGGCTCATGGCGGACGATTGCGGCTCATGGCGGACGATTACGGCCCATGGAGGACGATTGCATATCATTGCGGACCCTTGCGCCCTACCCTGTTCCTCGTTCCGTGCACCGTTGCTGGGAATCTAGAGCAGGACCCAGCGATGTACGGATATATAACCTGCCTGGTGCAAAACCTGCCTGGCGCCTGCGAAACGGACATGCTACTTACAAATGACTTAAAAATCAATGCATTCCTGACTGTTGACAATCCACCACGCCGCCGCACTAACAACCGTAATTGCATCACTCGGATCCGGCAGTTTTTGAAAACATTGTTTGGCTTACTGGACATGTGTTGCCATGGAACCGCGCGAGCTAATCGTGCCCAGCGAGAAGCCAGTCTCCCTGCGGCGCTCAGACCCTCTTTGCCACGTGCATGTGGCTGTTGCTGTCTGGCTATAATGCTTGGCTGTGAGCAATTCTTTGCCTGCTGTAGACTAGTTCCAAGCCTTATTGATTTAAATGAACCAGATGCCCCACCGTTCACAGACTCATCTATGATTATCTCGTGGCCATGTTTGCCAGCGTCGTTGGCGGTTATGTCGGTGAAAGCGCCACAGGCGACACGGTGCGTGCCAGTCAGCCGTTTGCCGGCACTTGCTGTACACCGACCCTACACACTGGTGTGTCTGATAGTCGGCGTCGCCGCGGCTCTGCAACCATGGGATCAGGCCTCGAGGGCAGACAAGGATTGGATTAGGCCCACTTAGCTGCTTCCCATGCAGGTAGCGTTGAAGTTCAAACGAGCCACATTCCTGATGAGCTTGGCTGGCGAAGCAGGCTTCGGGCAGCCTTTGCCTGTTTGACCTTGCGTCGTGAGTGACGCCCGACGCGCAGGCCCGCCGCGGGGTCGTTTACCCGTCTGCAGCACCCCCCCCCCCCCCTCCGCTGCTAGCGTACGTCGGCCCGCGACAGCCGCTTGGCAACAAGGGGTGCACATGGGTTCAATTGCAGCGACGCAGGCGAACCCACCCAGCCAACTCTAAACGCAAGCCAACGACCAGTCCGTCTGCTCGTAAAACACAAATGCTAACTTCAGTTTTCCACGCAATGGGCGGAGGGTGGTCGAAAAACCGGGGAAGTGATGGCAGACGGGAGGGGGGCTGACATGGGGGGAGGGATGAGGCGCCTGAGCTCGAGACAGCACTGGGTGCGGGGGTGTCAACGACACCGGCGTGGTCGCTGCCGTAGGCAAGCCTGTTAGCAGACTTGCGGCGGACAGCGCCTCGGCCGCCCCGGCCTGACACCCAGGCCATGGGCGGCGGTGAGATGGCATGGAGTGCGCGGCTTCAGCCACCGCTCTGTCAAAGGAGCGGCCTCAAAGGCGCCAGTAGAGGAAAGCAAGTTCGAAGTTAGATTCGGTAGTGAGACAAAATCGGTAGAATCAGTTTGGTCTCGTCAGGCATAGAAACATTAGACCGAACAATGTGTTCGACCACTGATATCTGTGGATATCGGCCACTGATATCTGTGGGCGTGAGGGCTGCTGATATTTGTGGGTATCAGTGGTTCAAACGTCAGTACATATTTAACACTACAGCAGCAGCATGCTTTCGAACAGCTGGGAACGTGCGCCCAAATCGACGATGCCAAATCTTCATTATTCCGTCCCAATTTGCTTCAGCTGATCGGTTTTGTAGCCCGACTCCTTTCGTACCCTTCCGTGTTTTTTGTCATTCCACGATCTAGTTTGGTTGCATGCAGGGACCAGCAAATAAACAGCGGTTGATCTAACACGCGGATAGTTCTGACGTCTGGCGCACTCATTCCAAACAGACCTATGCTAGACTTCGGGCGGAATCGGATCGGATGCTGAATCAAGCAGATTTGTGTTAGGTTGCAGTGAAATCGATTCCTTTGAACCTTCGTCGCGAGCACAAGCTAGTCAAATATCCGGTGCATAGACTCCAGCAGGAATACGAGCAGCAGAATATTGCATTGTGTTGTATTGTACGTAATCGCTTCGATCCACATCAGTTTGGCTATTCTCTGAACCTCGCCACTTTGCGTAGTCACAGCACACTTCGCAAGCCAATTCAAATGTTGGAACAATCCCAGCCATCCCAACTTACATCCCATTCGGTATTTGCTGAGCTATACTACGAATTTTAGTCTGTTTTTTTCTGGAGAAGTTTTTTTAGAAGTTTTCGTCTGGAGATTTGGGATCTTTCACAGACCTTGAGTGGTAGCATTCCTGTTATACCTTTGGAACGTGCGATGCGCATATTGCGTCTTTCCATTGTTGTCCATTTCACAATGCATCGCCCAGATGGTGAGATAGCCGCTTATCTCGGACCACACACTCCCGACCTTATATACACAAACGCAGAGCGCACCACAAGCCTCCCAATGATCGGAGCGCTGTGCGGCACGCAGAGAGCAAAGTAATATGCAAACTATTATGCAGACAGTCAAATCTTATTTGTGATATATATATATATATATATATATATATATATATAACAAATATGTGTGTGTGTGTGTGTGTGCGTGTGTGTGTGTGTGCGTGTGTGTGTGTGTGTGTGTGTGTGTGTGTGTGTGTGTGTGTGTGTGTGTGTGTGTGTGTGTGTGTGTGTGTGTGTGTGTGTGTGTGTGTGTGTGTGTGTGTGTGTGTGTGTGTGTGTGTGTGTGTGTGTGTGTGTGTGTGTGTGTGTGTGTGTGTGTGTGTGTGTGTGTGTGTGTGTGTGTGTGTGTGTGTGTGTGTGTGTGTGTGTGTGTGTGTGTGTGTGTATATCTACGTTGGGGTAAAAAAACATGGTGGCTTCAATGGTACCCGACAAATGTGTTATCAAATGGATTTCTGAGCCGTTGTTGCCAGAACAAATTCATCAGCATCACGCGCTGAATTTGGCCACGTCCGCCTTGAGTCGGAATCGGAGACGACGCAGAGTTGTGCTGCAGTACTCGGAGTGGGGGTCAGAACCAGCATCACATGCAATGCGTTTAGAGTCTGCATTGATTCCGTACAGAGCAGACAAGTAATATCCGGACAACGTGGCTTAGTTTTAGGGGCACTAAATTGCACCGCGAAAAACGACAGCAATGTACCCCTGGTCCAGACGATGAATGCTTTCTCGACAGAAAGAATAAGATAACAATTCCTTTAGAAAATCCGGGTCGGTAGATGGGTCCGAGTTTGTTACGCATTATGCGCCGTTTGGACCCAGATTCCATTGCTCACTGGAACTAACTATGCATATACTTTCTTCTTGAGCTTTGAGCTTGCCGAACCTGAGAACCTTTAGCGTGTTACCCGTGCACGACGTGACCACGGTTTGTCCGCTGAACCACCCGTTCTCTGCGGGTGGCCTGGTGGAGGGTACAAGCCGAGGGCACTACGCGCCACGCTTCCACGCATCCTAAGCGTGACGAGGCCGGGTCGGTGCTCGAGGCCAGCGAGCTTCACCCGCCAGGCTATCATGGCCAGCAGGCTCCTCGCGCTCGTCTGGCCAGGACAGAGCGACTGTACAGGCCGCAGGTCGGCAACAACACACGTCCACCGAAGTAAATATTTGTTCTTGCTGCATATGCATGCACTGAATTTCCGCGACCGGCTTGCGGATTCTCCAGTAATTGCATTTGATTAAAATGCACGTGCATTTTCGGCTACTTTTTAAGTGTCACAATCATTCACTTTGACTGACACAGATTTACGTCATAGGCACATGCATCCAACTTAAAGGTGTATGTGTTCTCCTGTTTACCCCTGAATTACCCTTCTCACTCATTTAAATGAGCCCTGTTCTTCTCCTCAAAGACGAAGTGGACACGGTATTAGTTCTCTGCAGGCCAATGCTTCGATTTTGCTATGTCATGGTACCCAGTTGTTCCAGCCCTTTGTCCCCATCATGACTTCGATGTGCGGTCCTGTAGTCCATTACGTTGTATAGTTGTGGCAGCCACACCTATACAATTTAATGAACTATAATCATGCCGGATGATCACCATTGATTAGTTATGACATTTGTCTGGTCTAAGTGGTCGAATGACGTATTTGTTCATGCTTTGCATTAAGTGATGTTAATCGACCAGGGTCATGCGCCTAAATAAATGTAATTAAATGTGCTTGCATCCCATGGACTGAACAGAACTACGGGGAAAAAGAAAGGCATGCAGCC